GAGAATGTTAGAAGCTGGAGCATGGAGATGCTCCAGGTGGCGTTGGCTCTGTGAGAAGTGACTAAGCAAGGCCAGTGCTGCAGCCTCACTACTAGACAAGACTTCAAAGTGTAGGGATGGCACTGGCAGTAAAGCTTAAGAAAAGCTCAGCAGGCAAAGTTGTTGAGCAATGTAAGCATGGGCAGCTAGGTCTGAGTGTCCCGAGAGACCTCAAGAGGACTGGATTCAGGTAGAGCTCACCAGGAAATGTGGGTCCAGGAACCAAATGTTCAGAGCTACTTATGGGAGTGTGGGAATGGTAAAAGCAGGTGAGGTTATATGGAGACCAGGCAAACTTGTTGCATGATAGGTGCAATTACAGAGAGCCCTTGGACTGTGCAGATGTTTGAAGGAGGTTTGGTTCTGAGGGGGTGCTGCAGGGGAAGCAACTGTAAGATCTGCTAGAGAGGAGCTAGGTAGGGGAGCATGTGGATGGTGCTGGCAGACAAGATTATTTGGAGAACACAAGGAAAACTTGATATGAGGTCTGAGCTTCTGGATATAGACTGACATATCTGGGAGTATGGGGATGACACTGCTGAGGGAGGTGCTGCAGACTATGATAATGCAAATCAGTGTGTGATCTCTGCTTCCAATGTTAGTTTTAGGAAGTGTGAAGATGGCACAGGACAGCCTGTTTCTGAAGAAAAGACCAAGGAAATCTGGTATAGGAACTAGCAGAGCAAGGTGGGCTTAGTGTCACTACTATTAGATGGGGTTTTGGTGATTGTCAATGCACACAAGAGCATAACTGGGTGGTTGATGGTAGAGAGAAGCTTGTTTCTTTGCAAGAACTGACCAGGAAAAGCCACTGAGGGAACTGTATGACCAAAACTAGGCCCAGGACTATGGGACTGATGTTGGAGGGCAAGGGTCTTTGGAGATCAAAGGCAAAGCTATTATGGGATCTGTGTGTTATGAGCTAGACATCTAGAAAAAGGAATATGAGGATGACACTGGAAGGTGAAGTTCAGGGAAGCATCTTCAGGCAAGCCTAAAGTGTGGTCTGTTCATCCTAATCTAGTCCTTGGAGTGCGCAGATGGCACAGGTGTAATTGGTTCTAGGATATATCACTTGAGAAAGCTGCTGCAGAAGATGCATGACCTGAGATAGTATTGGCAGTGAATGAATGGAACTTGCAAGCTAGTTTCATGGGAATTTCATTAGTCAAGAACAATCTTCAATCTATGTTGAGATACAGCCCTTAGACTATGGAGATTTTACATGTGTGCTTTTACAGGTAGTGTGGCATAACTACCACGTAAAGTTGTAACCAGAGCAGCATGGAAGGAGGTAGGCATGGGGGAGAGTAGATTATTCTTGCAGGCAAGATTCAGTGGTGATGAACAAGAAAAGCAGGGTACATATCTTCATTGGCCTGGAGAATGGACATGGCAAATGATGGCCTCATTTCTTGGGGGAATTTACCGGGAAAAGTTGGTGCAGGAGCTACATCTCCAGAGCTACCCATTGAAGTGTGGTGAAGTCTCTGGAAGCCAAGGTTCAGGGGAGTTCAACAGGTGTCTCAGTTAAGGTTTCTATTTCTGTGAAGAGACACCATGACCATTGTAGTGGGTAGCCATTCCAGCTTTGACCTGGAAGTTCCAACCACCATTGAGGCTTCGGTAATGGTCACGCCTACAAAGCGGGGCTGAGAGAGGATGCTGAAGACCCATGATCCAGATGCATGAGCACTCTTGGTTCCTGGACCCTGGATGCTGGAGCTAGACTGAGCAGAGTTCTCCAGAGAACACCGCCGGATTGTGCCACACCTTTCCCAGACCCTGTAGCCTATCCCTTCACTTGTAAGTTACCCCACAAAATAAACCTCCCTTTTAACTACATGGAGTGGCCTTAAAAGTTTCACCAATAGACCATGGCTGCTTTTAAAAAGGAAAACATTTAACTGGGGCTGGCTTACAGAGGTTTCAGAAGTTTCGTTCATTATGGTGATGGCAAGAAGCATGGCAACATGCATGCAGACATGGCAATGGAGAAGGAGCTGAGAGTTCTCTGTCTTGGTCCACAGACAATAGGAAGTAAACCGTAGCACTGAGTGAACTGACCATGTATGAGGAACTCAACAACACACTTCCTAAAACAAGGGCATACCTACTTTAACAATGCCATACCTCCTAATAGTGCCACTCCCTTTGGGCCAACATTCAAACACATGAATCTATGGGGGCTATACCTATGCAACTGACCACAATGTTCAAGTCCAGTGCATGAATTATGAGTCCAGAGCAAGACCATGGAGTGTGACATTAGCACAGGCAGGCTTGATCATGGTGGGGAAATCAGGTGTTGTACATGTGTGACTGGAATTAGGCTTATCTGTGAAGGTGGTGCCACTGGCAAACAAGGATATGTGGAGATGTCAATGACAATCTGGACATCCAGAGCTAGGCCTGGTAGTGTGCAAACAGCAGGAATGGGCTTGGAACTGTAACTATCAACAAGGGAATTCTAGCAGATACTCTGATCTGAGCAGGACCTGTGAGCAGTGTATAGCCCTGGAGGGCAAGGTTCAGGCTTCCTCAAAAAGTATACCCTTTGCCTGATCTGCACACACTTAGCTAGACCTCTTAGCATGGAAATTACAAATGTGGGATTATCAATATGGCTACTCTCAAGAAAATCCAGTGAAGGAGCTGTGTGACTAGAGTCAGACATGAAAGGGTAACCATTACAGTTGCAGGCAAATGTCTGTGGATCTCATCATGCAAAGTTGGTAGATGCTATGTCCAATAGAGACACACCTGGAAGTATAAGGATGGTATAGGAAAACTGGGGTTTGAGGTAACTAAACTGTGAAAATAGGTGCAGGGGCTGTATGATGGATGCTAGGCCTGAAAATGTGGGCATGATGTTAGCAGAAGTGATTCAAGGATGATCTCCAGGAAAAGATGGTGAGCAGTCTGTATCCAAAATTATGATTGGGGAGCAGGGATGACACAGGTAGGTTTAGTTCAGGTGGAATTCAACAGAAGTAGCCAGTGGAGTATCTGTGTGACCAGATTTAGGCAGGCTCAATAGGCATGGGTATGGCAGGAAAGGTTCTGGGGAGCTCACCCTGCAAAAACTATGTGCGAGCTGTACACCTCATTCTACTCCTTTTAAAGTGGATATACCACAGGTGCATTTGATTCTGGGGAGTGGATTACTCACCAGAGAAAGCCAGAACAGAAATTTACCAGTCCATCACTGAAGGAACTTAGGTCAGCAATCAAGGAAGGAACCTAAAGCAAAAATGGATGTATAGACCATGAAGAAACTCTGCTTACTTGCTCATCCACTGAGGGTAACTCAGCATGTTTATTTTACAACCTAGGATGACCTATCCAAGCATGGCACCACACACAGTGCCCTTGGCCCTCGAAGATCAATCATTAATCAAGAAAATGCTCTGTAGGCTTTCCTACAGCCAATTTCATGAAGGCATTTTCTCAACTGAGATTCCCTCTTCTCAGAGGACTCTAGATGGATAATTTTAGAAGTGTGTAAAACTAACAAAATATAACCAGAATGACCAGGCTCCACTCTTCTCAGATGACTCTAGATTTTGTTAAGCTAAAAACAACAATGAAATAACCAAACACAACCAGGGCTATATCAAGCTGGACAAAGAATATGACAGCATGATCTTCATGGTGCTGAATTTGCAGAAAGAGAAGATTCAATATTATTGGGTACTAGAACTTTGAATGACAATTTTAGACAATGTGTGCCAGAGCTAAAGTCCCTGCAAGGGGGTTGAAAAGTCTTTTGCATGAAGATATAAAAGAGAAGCCCGTACTGCAGTGGGTACACAGGATGATCGGCATCCCAGAATCATGAGGTACCTCATGTGGAAAGCTGAACGTGTGTAGTACAGACATGAAATATACTTGATAAGGCCAACATTGATGGAAGGCCAGGGAACCTAAAAGCCCTTTGAAGCCAGAATCACTGCTTTATATTACTAGATGACAGATATGGAGCTGCTGGATTCAGTGTTTACCCTCAAGGGTTTACATCTTTTTCTGTCACTTCTTCCCTTGCTTTAGCTCCTTTCCTCTCTTTTATATTGATAATATTTCCTTCATATCCTTTTATGCTAGAAGTATGTGAGTTGATTTATGATTGCCAAAGGTCTCACAGTTGAAAAACTCCCAGAGTGCCAAAGGAGACTTTGGACAACTGGACAATCTTGTGACTGTTAAATATGATAGATAATTTTAGAGATGGTATCAACTAATTTTTCTTTTTTTAATAGCCTTCATTTTATTGGGACAAAGGATTGAAAGTGCCATGTTTTGTGTTAGTGGGATTGGCCAGTAGGAATCTATGTTTTCCATCATGTTAATGTGAGTTTGAATGCATTGATTCAGAATCAAAGCAAATCAAGTTGGATAAACTGTCCTCTGATTACTATACCACATTTTCCATCAAAGGACACTGGAAATGCCTGGGCGTTTGTGATTTTCACAAACATAAAGAAAGGGGGTTCCCACTGCCCATTGTACAGGATAGCCTTCCTACTCCTTGAAATTAATACAAACTGTCTTCAGAGCTAACACTATGAAGTCCTGCTCTGCTGCAATAGACAAAAGGATTTACCTGATATCACACAAGAATGTTTGCTTTTGTGTGTTTCAGCTTCCTTAAAAAATGATTTCACCTGGCATTTATTGTGTTTATTTTTGTAACATATATTTCATGAGTATTTTTACCTGCTACTGCTCATTGACAATATCTGAAAACATGATCATGACTTTCAGAGTTTAGGATGTGAAAATATTTAAAGTAAGGAACACAGATAGAGGAGGAATTAATTCAGACAGACCCAGAGGCCCAAGTTGGTGCTTTATTTAGAACAAGTTGATGATTATACAACTTTTGGCTGAGAAGAGGAAATTTCTTCAAGAGCATTCTGGCTGATGTTGCAAATGCAGGAGCCCTTGCTTCAGACCTCTTGTTAGGTAAATTTGAAAGCATGCTTGGACTTCATATAACTTTGTAGTTTCAAAGAGCTTATCTCACAGAGAAACATTATCACTCCAAAGAGTGGCATGGTGTCTGTCAGGACCCCTAATGGGAACACAGAAGTATAATGTTTGCTTATCAAGGTTTCCTTTTTCACAGGAAAGTCTGGTGGAAAGTCAAGAGTGGTTTGGCCATAACACTTCTATGAAGTGGTTCCAGCTCATGGAAACAAATGTGAAGAGGCTGCTAACACACAAAACTAAGACAGAGACCTTGTAGCAATATATCTCCATCTCCACGAATGGGTCTTCTATGCAGCTGATCTTAATGGCAACTGCACCAAAAATCAGAACTACAAGCTTCATCAGAATGGCCCACACTATCATGGTCTGTGCATACTGAAATTCAGGTGAAATTGTCCAGGTGGAATTGATAGGAGTATGCACCATCATCTTGATTACAGTCCCTGAGACATTAAACTCTTGAGGGTAATAAGCCTCCCAGAGTCCAAAGGACACAAATTTTACAACCTTATTGTTGAATTTCCACAGGCACCAGGATTGGCAATTTGCAATGACTATTTCAAACACCAAAGCTGACAGGCTATAAAGCAGGCCACTCAGATTGAAGATGCATTTCTTTCCATTGGCAAATCTGAAGATGAGATTGAATAAATATATAGTCAAGCCAGGATCACAAGGGAGGGTGGGAAATCTAAATGAATCATGATTTACAGAGCATCAAGCTCTTATACTTTATCAGTGCTGTCTCAATATTGTTTTTAAGTAGTCTATTTATGTATTAGGGTTCAATATACTATAGGTAAGTGTATAAGAAGCCCTCAACTCCATAACTACAGCAGTTGTTCCCTCTACATATGTGAAGCATGTATATTTGTGTGTATGTAAACACACACAAACACACACATGAACACATACAGAAATGTGAATGTAAAATTATAACTGAAAAAGTTACTCTAAACCCATCAGACTAGCAATGTACAATATCTTATCTGTACATTTTTATGAAATATGCAGATTTTTAAAAAGCTATACTAATTTCATATTAAAGCCTCAGTAAGAATGACTTTCAAAATATATAAATATCTGGGCTAAGAATATTCCTCAGTGAAATAGTGAATGCTTAACATTTGAGAGATGCTATATCCATTCCTTAGTGCCAAATGTCCAAAATCTACAAGTAAAACATGAAGACTCCTGGACATTTCCATCATTTACTCACAACTTACTCAAATGTAGATTTTCAGGTAACCAGCTTCATTTGATTGTTGCATATCCTGACTATCTGTGTGAACCACCATCTTCTTTAACAATAACAACAACAAAACTATTTCTCCACATTTACTATATGCACCATCTTATTTAAATCACTTCTTAGTTCAAATATTTGGATGTAGTGTTAATGTTCATGAAAAACCATGTCCTGGGGGATATCACAAAGTACTTGAGAAGAAAGGAAGCAAAATTTTGTAGCCACCAAGTCTGTGGATACTGTCATTTCCATCCCAAATACCAACTTGTACTACCAAGTGATAGTAATACAAGGCAGCATGGTATTGGCATAAAAACAGGGACATTGACCCTTGGAATCAAATGGAAAACCCAGACATAAATTCACAGAAACATGGATCCTTGATCTTTCACAATAGGCCAAAACATACACTGCAGAAAACACAATATATTTAACCAATGTTGTTGGAAATAAAGGACTACTAAGTGTGGACTAGTGCAAATAGTTATGTTTTTACCCTGCACAAAACTCAACTGCAAATGGAGCAAAGTCCTCAACATAAGACCAGATATTATGACCCTAATAGAAGAGAATGTGGAGAACAGGTTTGAACTTATGGGTAGAGGAAGAGAATTTCTGAGTAGAACAGTGTTAGCACAGGAACTAAGACCAATAGTTTTTAAATGGGACATCATGAATCTGAAAACATTCTGTAAAGGAAGAACACCATCATTCGGGGAAAGTGACTCCCTAAAGAATGTGAAAAACATTACTCTTCTGTCATGTGGCAGCATTAGCGAGAGAAGGAATCCTTCCCCTTACCCATCAATGTCTGAGGAAGATGGGAGAACTGGCCCCAAGGGCATGTGAGCAGGAGAGCTACTCCTGTCCCCCACCAGCTGCAACAGTCAGGAGAACAGGCCCTCACCTCACCTGGGCAGAACAAGAGAGCTATTCCTGTTGGAAGAGGTATGGGTGAACCAGTCCCAAAGTTGTTAGCATAAGAGAGCTGTCCCCATTCTACATCTGTCATGTATCAGCATGGGCTGGAGAGAGATGTCCTCCCCCCATCCATTAAGACCTGAGGCAGGTGGGAGAGCTGACCCCAAAGTCATAGAGCAGAAGAGCTGACTCTGTCCACCACCAGCTGCAACACTCAGTAGAGAAGTCCTTGCATCTTGCCTGGGCAGTGCAATAGAGCCAACCCTGTTGACAGAGGTATGAGTAAGCCAGCCCTCAAGTTGTGATCATGAGAGGTCTGTCCCCATTTCTCATCTGTTATGTGGCAGCATGGGCAAAGAAGAGATGCCTTCCCCATCCCCAACTGTAGATAGAGTTTTTCTTCAGAACCACCGGTCAGCTCTGTCTCCCGAGCCTTCTCCCAAATAATCACTCAGAGACTTATTATTAATTATAAATGCTTGGCCAATACCTCAGGCTTATTACTAGCTAGTTCTTACAACTAAAATTAACCAATTTCTATTAATACATGTGCTGCCACAAGACTTGTTTACCTCATCTATGAACTTCTCATGTTGCTTTTTCTGGATTTGGCTTTTGAGGCCTCTGACTCCACTCTTCTTCCCAGAATTCTCTCTGCCATCAAACTCCTGCCTAGCTCTCAGCCAAATAGCTTTTCATCAACATTGGAAGCAACACATATAGACAGTGTACAAAGATTGTTCCACAGCATTTCTACATTTTTGTCTAATTCAAAAGGAATGTTTTAACCTTAACATAGTAAAATTATATACAACAAAAACAGTTATCAAGTAAGAATTACAGTTGCAATATCCAGTTCATTTGTATTTGGCAAAATTAGAGAAAATATTTTATTATCTCTCTTTTTAAAATTTTTTCATCAAGAAAAAAGTTTTAAAATTAATTTTACATGCCAAAGATTCTCCTCTTCCCTCCTCCTGCTCCTGTAGCTTCCCCCTCCCAACCCACTCCACATTCCCTCCTACAAGAAGGTAAGGCCTCCCATGGGGAGGTACACTTAGTAGAAGCAGGTTCAAGCCCCTCCCTGTGCCTCAAGGCCATGCAAGGTGTCACATCACAGAAGTGGGCTCCAAAAAAGCCTGCTCATGCACCAGGGACAGATTCTGATCCGACTGCCAGGGGGCACCTTAAGCAGATCATGTCACGCAACTGTCTCACTATGCAGAGGGCCCAGTCCAGTCCTATGAGGTTCCACAGTTGTTGATCCAAATATCCTGAGTTCCCACCAGCTTGGTTTGGCTGTGTCTTTACAGTTGTTCGCACAATTTCAGATTGTGAAAACCAAATAAATTCTTTTCATCTTTTGGGAGGTGACCCTTTTGTACTTATGGTTTTTTTGTCCTACAGTCATCTTTGAATATACCGAGCATGACATTGTATGTGGTGTACTTGGAAGATAATGAGTAAGATAATTTCTTAATCAAATACTATTATTAGGATAAACTTTCTCATATAGCCAATTATTATTCCCATTATGTGCTCCTCAGTTGTAATGTTGACAATCTTTCAAATAAATTCTATTAATGAGCTACATAATAAACATGTTCTTTATAGATTGGTGGTGTTTTCCATTGTTCATAAAAACTTTTTAAATTTTTAATTAAATATTTATTTATTTATTGTAATATTTGTTGAAAATATGTTTTGCACAACATGTTCTGATTATAATTTCCACTGTCATCCTCTCTCCCAGTTTGTGCCCACTTCCCTACCCACCAAAATCCAAACACTTACACACTTTCTTTCTCTTTTTCATTAAAAAACAAACAGGAAACTAAAATACAAACAGGGAGAAAGAATAGGAAAAAAATAGAAAAAAGGAACCAAAGAGAAAGGAAAAGAAACACATGCAAATGGAATCACATACACATGGACACACAGAAATCACATAAAACACAAAATCAGAAACCATAATATATAAGCAAAAGGGCTAAAATGCAAAAAAAGAAAGAAAAAACCATGCCTTGACAAAGCTTTATAAGACAAAAAAGGCTCTAATATAACTTTGAGTACATTTTGTCTTGGCCATTTGCTGCTGGGAATGGGGCACCATTGAGTGTGATTTGTGCACCCAGTGACACTCCACTGGTGAAAACTAGTTTTTCCTTTGTGAGTGGCTGTCAATTGGAGAGAGTTTCTGGGTTAAGGATGAGGGCTTGTGTCCAATTTCCCTTTCATCACTGGGAACCCATCTGGCTTAGACTGTGACAGGGCCCCAGACTTTATAAAAAAATTCTTGGCCTCCTAGAGATTACTTGGTTTCCCCTACAAATTGTTGTCTTCCACACTGTTGGGCTTCTGACCTGGCTGCCAGACAATGGGAACTAAGCCCAGTGGGCCTTTTGAAATTCTGATGACATGCCACAACCCAGTGCTACCTGAGACCACATGGTAAAGAAGAAACAGCTCAAATCCACAGGTTGATGGAGGACACCAGAAGGAAAGGTCATTCTCTCATAAACAACGGATAGGACTCTGGTAACTGATCTAAGATCCACAAAAGGATTTGAGTTACTCAGACCAAGGTATGCTATACCTAGACTGAGCATCCTAGTGCTGAATGTCTCAGCCAGATGCCAGGTTTGTACTCAAGTGAATCCAAAACAAAGAACCAATACCCAGGAAGGGGACAGTATGAGAGACTAACACCCTAACAAACTCTGGAAAAACTGAATTCACCTAGATCCAACCTGCTTAGTACTTGCTAGTTTCTATAGATAGCTATTCTGGATGGGTAAGAAGTGTTCTTCACTGTGACTGAAACTGTTCAAATAGTAACTAAAAAGATCCTCCATGGTCTCCTGATTTGACCTCTTGCTAGCAATGGAGTCCAACAATGGCCTAGTTTTCATAGAAAAAAAACCCTCTCAATAGCTAAAGATTTAGATACAGTTTAAAAACTTCATTGTGCATATATACCTCAGAGTTCTTGCCAGGTAAAGGAATAAGACATGAAAAGAAACTAATAAAGCTCTCATGAGAGTACAGTGAGAGATGGATAGGCTTCATTCCTTTGCTATGCTTCAGTCTGCTGCACAACATAAGGGAGAGATTTATCCCCATATTATATTATATTTGGAAGTCGTCCCATTTTAAGTGTCTGGCTGTACTAGAGAAAGTGAGGGTGTAGAAGTTTATACTTTGAGGTAGGAACACAAAGTTTGCAACTCTACGCATGCCCCAGCAGCTTGATCTCCTGTTTACCAGAAACAAGGGAATTTCCACTGCAAAAATTGGGGTTGTAAAACTGAAGCTTCCTGAAAAATTCCTTAAGAAATATTCTGGCCTTTGGAAAACAGGGAAAACCTGGGAATTCTGACTCTGCCACAGGAAGGGAACCAGGCAATAGAGTTAATCATTTCCTGCCAAAAATCAGGCAGGATTGCTGGTAAAACTGTCAACACACTGACTGACAAAAATCACTGTGTCTGGGGCACAGCCCAAATTAAACTTAAATGACTTACAAATGACTGGAACTTGTCTAATATCCAAAGCCTTTAACATAGGCACTTCCCCTTATTCTGATGCCTGCTATTCTGCTTTGTGGTTTCATTCATCTGGATAACAATAATATTACTGATCCCCTGAGATTAGTTGGTATGCATGTCTCGATTGTTTTACTAAATATGCCTTTTCTGATACATTCTAAACTAAGTACGCAGATTGATCAGGACTCAGAGGTATTAAAACAATGGCTATATTCCCTTACAGGAATGATCCTAGAAAATTAAAAAGGCTTAGGCTTAGACTTACTTCCCATGGGATAAAGAAAACTATGTCTGGTTTTAGGAATAAAAACATGTTGTTTCTATACTAATTAATTAGGAGTAATTAAAAAATGGTCCTTAGGATACCTCTTTAGGGCAGAATGAGTAATTAAAAAATGGTCCTTAGGATACCTCTTTAGGGCAGAATGAGTCCACAGTTTGACTCATTCTCTAAGACCAGTGTGAAACATAACAGGACCCCAGATCTTAGTAGGACTTGAGACCTTAGCACAGCTGACTCCATGATGGAAGTGCTATTCAGACTGTAAAACTCAACACATAGACAGTACCTCTTGACAAAAACAGAAACAATGATATAATTCATCAAAGTCTATGGTTCTGTGAAGTCCTTCAGTGTTCTAACTTTGCTTTTTGCCCTCTGTAGTTCTGCTTCTGGCTAAGGGTTCTTGATCACCAGAGTCAACCCAGAACATGATTCTTATACTTAAAATCTCACCCCGAGAAAGGCTTGGGCTACATTAGGATTCCAAACACACAGTGTAACCCCTGGGTGGCCAATAAAAGACTTTATATTGGCTTAAGTCCAAGTAGGTTTAAATCTGAGTGGTCTTCTCTGGTGAATATCCTACAACAATATCTATGCAGACTCTGTGCATGCTGTCATAGTTTCTCTGAGTTCATGTGTCCCAGTCCTTTTGTTTCTAGAATGCACTCTTTCCTTAGTGTAGTCTATCCATACTAGTTCTCAAAATCTTTTTACCTCCCCTTCCTCAAAGGTCCCTGAGCCCTAAGAGGAGGGAATTATGGAGACATCCTATTTAGTACTGAGTGTTCCAAAGTTTCTCACTCTCTGCAAATTGTCCAGTTCTGGTTCTCTGTATTTGTTCCCTTATACTTAAGGCATAAGCTTCTCTGATGGTGGCTGAGTAAGACTCTGAACTATGAGTATAGCAGAATGTCATTACTACTAGTAGAACAGCAGTTTTCTATCCAGACCATGTCCTATTTAGTCTCAGGTTCTTGGCTACCAAATTAGTGTCAAGCATGAGATCCATCTCATAGATAGACCTTAAATCCAAACAGATAGTTGTTGGATACTTCTACAACTTTTGTACAACACTTGAAGCAGTGTATAA